CTAAAACTCTAAAACTCTAAAACTCTAAAAGGGACCATAAGTGAGGAGGTGACTCATTCCCCAATGACTGTACTTCACCCCTTTCTGAAAACAGAATTTGTGGGACTAGATTATGGAAAGACCCAGGGATGGGCTGCTATTGGTTTGCCCGGGTTCGGGAGAATCTGTAGCTAACATTATGGCTGGTTCGAAGAATCTCCAAATCCCATCCCTGTCTCCAAATCCCATCCCAGCTGCCACTGGTATGCCCATACCGGGCTGTACTGTTCAGAACCCACCACTAATCCAAGCCACAGAATATCTATGGTGGGTGAGAGAAACACAGGAACAAAGTGGGAGGGGGGTTCCTAGTTGATCTTTTTTGAAGTTGCAAGGAAGCTATTCGAGCCAAGAAGGGAGAAGATACAGAGTTCAGTTCAAAAATCCAGAAGAATTTGCTTACCCTGTGTGGATATTCTCCGCATTGACCCTGCAGAAACAGAGGGATTAAAAAAGAAAATATTTTAAATCATGTCACCCAAATATAGAGTCAAAGAGACAGGACCACGGCAGGTGCATCATTGTGAAGAGTTCTTTCATCTTGGTAGGGATAATGGTGATGTGACCCACCCTGGACAATGGCTTCGTATCAGAAAGAACTTCTTGTTCTTGGTACTTTTTGGAGTATCATGGTTCAAAAACTATTGACCAATTTTGTTTATGATGGTTGATTCAGAATCAAATAGGCCAGTAATGGTATTCTCTTCTCTTCACTACTGGTTTGGGCATAGCTAATGTGCATGTGTGAAGGTCTGTGATGATGTCACGGTGGGTGGGCATAACCTTGCCCTGCCGCCACTAACAGTCCGCCTGGACCAGTGTGAACCGGCAGCATACCACCTCTGAAATAGATCCATGGTTGTTCCTTTTCCTGCAATTATGATAATTATCTGACTTGGAGCAAGGAAAATTTTCAGAGCTACAAAATTCATCAAGGAAACTATCCACCAATTCATTGGAAGCCATTCACTCGACTGAAAATGTACAATATCCATGTGTAGCTGCCTGCTTTAATGATACACATTTTAGTTATAGTTTCCGTAATGATTGTTCTTACCTACACATATGGATTAAAAGGGCAGGTTATGGTATATTCTTTTTCAGCCATAACCAGGGATAGTGAAACTATTGATTCAGGCATACAAGAAGAACCAGATTTCAGGTTTCAATTAAAAAAAACAACATATGTATTCAAATATGATCTGAACTTTTATATCCTATATTAATTTTACCTTTTCTCCTTTTTGTCCTGGTATCCCCTATGAGAGAGGAGAGAGAGAGAAGGAAAGGGAGAGGGAGGGAGGGAGGGAGGGAGAGAGAGAGAGAGAGAGAGAGAGAGAGAGAGAGAGAGAGAGAGAG